GGTAGTCTCGGGATTGCCCGAGTGATAACTCGCGTCCGGGTCATCCCAACAGTTAGTTATCGTCTACATATCCACATTTGAAAGTTGGCTGTTTTCTCCCCTTCTGGGTTATTTTCTAATTCTGTAGGCTATGATAGATAATCTTCATTTAACCTGATCCACACAGTCAAGCTGTGAATGTTCATGCTGGTTCGGGGGGATACAGCAAAGGCGTCACAGCCCATTTGACGATTGGTCCTTTCCCTGCCGTCTTGCAGATCTCCCGACCAACTGGCATTCCTCAACCTCAAATCTCCCATAATGATATCAACTAACAGCGCTGTAGCTCCCGTCACACCTGCCCACTTGATCCAATTCTACTCTGTAGTTCCACTGGAGAGGAAACTGGACGTGCTCTGGGCCTTCCTACAGAGTCATTGCAAGAAGAAGATAATCGTTTTCTTCTCGACACAGAAACAGGTAAGTGGACTCCGGTCTGCCTACTGTGCCTAACTGCCTCACTCTGGTCGCATCTTGCCATGGTTAGGTATTTTCAGTAGAGTTATATTTTGCTTGGAACAATACTCCCTATTTAGTCACTTCTGATTAGATATGCAGTATGTGATAAGCCCCACGCACTCTCACAGACTTGACCTCACGAACTTTTCAGAGCTAATGGGCTCCATCCGTGGCTTTAATTCCAGCGCTGGCGTCTTTGAGGCACTCACTTTGGCTAACTCGAACGCCTAACCGTACGGCAGAATACACACATTTTGACTGGCCTCAATGGAGTGCGGTTTGCGGGTGTTAACGTTGTTCTTTGCTTTCTCGAAAAATTAGTAGCTAATGTTCGCAAAAGGGAGCGTTCTGAGATAGAACTCAGAGAACATTGTATTGCTAACCGGAACGGATTTTTGTTTTTGCTGACGTTTCAGAGAGCTGGGCTGGCTCCCTTCGTCAAAGCGTCGACTGCCACTGTTGATCAGCGATTTAAGTTTGTGCACAAACTTGTCTGTAACAGTCGGAGCGCCCTGGGGGTTCTTGACAGCGTGACTTTCTTTTAGCTATGCCAGCACCCAGTTGTCCGACTGTATCCACTGTCTCCTGATTGTATCCACATGCTGAAATTCACTAGGAGTCTTTTTAACCGTCATAGTCATCCGTCAAGCTGAAGAGCTGATTCATTAAAGATGTAGAAAACAGTCAACGATTGGATAACAATCAAATTTTTCTGCGACAGTCCTGGGAGGGTGGCGCTGGAGGCTACCACTGGGGTAAGGGAGTACTCTGTGGGGCCCTCGC